ATCCAAAAGGCTTGTTCGAATCTTCAATAAATAATTATAAATATTATTATAATTCTAATTATCAATACCTCAATTTGATTTCACAAATTGATTTTACATAATAATAATAATAATAAAATAAACCCAATAACTTCTCTTTCTATATTTCAATTCAATTAATACAGCAATTTCAATGCCAAATTGATTCAACAATTTTAATTATAAAAATTAATTATTGTTTGTCGTATCTAAAAAAATTAAAAGGAAAAATACCCTAAAATTACATTGTTTTGTTAAAACAATAAAAGACCAAAACAAATTAATATGTGTTTGAAATGACTTTTATATTCATTAATTAAAAATTAATTTCAATTAGGAATCATTATTATTATATTTAGTAATTACAAAAAAAGATACAATACACAAACGGACGACCACACATGTGTAGTGTAGTTTTAAAGCCTAATTTACTACAAAAATCATTGCTTTTATAATTTTTCTAAACTTTTTCTTACAGTGGTTACATGGCACCAGAATATGCTTTTGATGGGCAATTCTCAGTCAAATCTGATGTTTTCAGCTTTGGTATACTGATGCTAGAGATAATAAGTGGTAGGAAGAACAGGGGGCTTCACCATCTCAACCATAGCAACCTTATTGGACATGTAGGTACCAAGATTCAAGACCTTGCTTTCTTACCTTCCTTGAACTAAAACATGACAAGGTTCATAATTTGTTTTTAGGCTTGGAGATTGTGGAAAGAAGGAAGCACTTCTCAACTAATTGATTCGTTTGTACTGGAGTCTTGCACTCTAACTGAAGTATTAAGGTGTATTCACATTAGTTTGTTATGTGTTCAGCATCAACCCGAGGACAGGCCGAGTATGTCATCTATTGTTTTGATGCTGGGTAGTGAGAATACACTGGTACAACCCAAAGAACCCAGTTTCCTTGTTCACAGCAAATCACATGAAACAATTTCTTCATCTAGCAAGCCTGAATCATGTTCAACCAATGAACTTAGCCTGTCAATGTTGGAGCCTCGGTAAAGTGTAATCACTTAGAAACTATACATGCCTAGTGTTGAAAATATTACTTAATGGTGTTCGCCAATGCATGCTATGCATATAACTTAATTAATTATTATTTGCAGGAAATTAATGGTGATTTAGTGACACCTGTTCTATTTGATCCTTAAGATCTAAGACTTCATTGCTCAACATAGATTGGTGAATCATTTTACATTTTTTTTAGTCCAAAATTAAAGTGTCAAGATCACTAATTTATCAATCTTCTTAGTAGTTTTATATAGCTAGCTGAATATTCATGATAGCCAACAAAAACTGATTTCTACTCTAAATAATAACCACCTTCATCCCCATTTTGGCTTGCTTGTTTGTGTTTTTAAAATGTAAAATAAAAATGCAATAAAGGCTATAATGAAAAGATTGTCATATTTTTGTAATATAAATTATAATCATGGCCTAAACTAATTTAGTTAAAGCATCTATATAAAAAGGTAACAATCAAATGTTTACATGAATTTTATAACTAGACTAAAACTCAAAATTAAATATGACACAATTAAGTCACTTGTCAATAACACAAGCTACATAAACATACAACATTAGAAAATGACTATACAAGTTACAACAATCCTATAAGGTGTAGAAAGATTACCGTTGGAATTCCTTTGGCTACGAGATAATCTCATTTATTATACCTGTTTTTGGGGAGAGCAAGTAGCTTGGCAGTATAACAATCCCTATCTACTATGCTACCATGCTAATATTCATACTCCACTAACTAGAGGCTCCTTTTCAAAATTAATGTGTGTTTCATGAAATGAAATTTTAATTTATCATTAACTATCAAGATTGTCATTGTTAGAATGTGAACATCTCAGCATTTAGAATGTTAAAATTACTTATAAAATTATTTATTCACCTTTTATAAATCTTCATTTAAATCTTTTTATTATCATTTTTGTTATTTTAATAGTTACAATCACATAATTCCAGCAAAACCACAAAACATTGCAATAAATAAAGCTTTTCCATAATTTTAAAGGGTTAAATCCCTTTTTCAGGGTCCCAACTTTAGTATTTTACATCAATTTTGTCCTTTGATGCACTAAAATCACCCTAACAAGTGTACTAGTCGCTCCAAGTAATATAATGATGAATAGAATGTCGAATCCACGAGGATTGTGTCTAACTAAGTACCAAAATAATTAATCTAAATTTATTTGAACAATCAAATAGGAAGAAACTTTAATTGAAAATAATAAAAAGAAAATAACAAATAAATCTAATCAAGATAGGAGGTACTAAGGCATTGATTTCACCATAATCAATCAATATAAATTTTGGATTACCGAATTGTTGAGTGTTATTGCATGTGATGGCGGATTTCCCTAAATTAATTAATTAGCTTTCTCAAGTCAAGTTAATCCTTCACTGGTTTATTAAATTAATCATATCTCTATGTAATTTAAAACAAACTAATGAGCATTAGATTCTATGGAAACCTCTAGCTTAAGAAGGGGGAGCTACTAACTCTCTTCTCTTCCTCCACTACCACATGTGAGCTAATTACCTCTCAGTCTCATAGTCTAGCACATGGTTTATATTATTATTGGTCTAATCTAAGCAATTCTTTCTCAAGTTCATGCATAAATCACTAAATCAATTGAAAGATGATCAGGCTTCTAATGCATTAAGTTCAATAATATAAACTCCTCATGCGAATAATTTTAATTGAAAATATAAAATCACAAAATCCATATTAAATTGATTATACTACATCGTAGCCCTAGTAGAATAAATCAGTTCATAATAAAAAGAATAAAATATGAAATCAAAGTTATGAACATTCAAATATCAAACAATAAATAAAAACCCAAGGAAAAACAAAACCCAATTTGAGGAAATTGAACTCCTTGATCTTCTATTGTTGATGGAACCTCAATCTTAATCTCCAAGAGTGCCCAAAGAGGGCTGCCACCAGCCTCCCAAAACTTTTTCAATTCTGAATTTGGATGGGTATTTATAGGATTTTAGAAACCCTAATTGAAATAGAAGTAAGACTTAGAATAAAAATAGGAAACTGAATTTTAGATGCTGATCGCGTGGTACTAACACTTCGGATTACGTGTTGACACAAAATAGGAAACAGAATCTGATTCTGGACGTTTTGTGCATAGTGTCGACACCCCGATCGTGTGTCGACACTACACCCGTGTCGGGTTTTTGGCCTCCTTTTGCAATTTCTTCAATGGTAAAATAGCAGATTTGGTTCCTGACTTCTGGATTCTGCACAAGTTGATCCTCAAGTCTATGATCTCTTCAATTTACTTCTAAAAAGTAGGATTTCTTCCAATTAAATCCTTTCCTACACAAAGAATGAAAATCATGTAAAATCAAACAAAATCCCATAAAACTCATCCAAATATCAATAATATCAAAGTAAAAATTTCTTATTAATATGTATATAAATTTAGCTAAATGCTTAGAGAATTGTTCCTGTATGGCCTATACAACCTTGAATATTAAAGAATCCAACAGTTGTGCAATTTGGTTTGATGATCTAATTGATCTTAAACAGGTCCAATCTTCTGGACAAGATTTATATGTTTGAATGGCTGCTTCTGATTCAGGTATTAGGTTAGACATTTCAGTATTTCCTGAAGTTTTGTTATGATTCCTCTTTATGTTGGGTGTTTCCAGTTCTATTTTCAGTTAATTTGTGAAACCATTTCGTTGCTACAATACTAATTCATATATTTCTTCTTTGCTTTATTGAATTAGACCATGAAGAGACAAAAGGCAAGACTAAAATGAAGGCAGGACTGATAATTGCAAGTACTATTCTTGTAGTTATTGGTGCTCTTGTAATCACCTATTACATTTGCAGGGGCTGTCAAAATATAGAAGGCATGCTTGTTTGCCTTCACAAATCTTTTTGCCATTAAATATTGATAGCAACTTCCATTGGTTCTTTTCTTACAATTTGGTTTTGATTAAATTCCCCGCTATTTCAGGTAGAAGAAATGGCACGAGCAATGAAGGGCAAAATGAAGATATCGAACTCTCATTATTTGAATTAGCGGTAATATCCAGGGCCACCAATGATTTCTCTTCCCACAACAAGCTAGGAGAAGGTGGCTTTGGTCCTGTATACGAGGTAAATGTTCAAAGATGTAGTAAAAATGACTTCCAGGATAAGAAGTATATATTTATTAAGAAATGAACTTTACAAGTACACTTTCCAGGGTACTCTGCCAGACGGAAAAGAAATTGCTGTGAAGAGGCTCTCCAAAAGCTCTGAACAAGGATTAGTAGAGCTTAAAAATGAAGTAGCACTTATAGCTAAACTTCAACATCGAAATCTTGTAAAGCTTCTAGGATGTTGCATTCAGGGGGATGAGAAACTGCTGATTTATGAATATATGTCTAATAAAAGTTTGGACTTCTTCATTTTTGGTATAGATTCCTCTTAAATCCGTTCAAATATTAGTAGTAGTAGGAGTATAAATTCATCATATATTTTTGCCACATTTCTATGCAACTCTATCGAAAACTAGTTGAACACTACGTTGATATTAAAAACATGTTAATGTTATAGACCATACAAGAAGAAATCTATTGGATTGACCAAGGCGTTTTCATATTATTTGTGGAATTGCTAGAGGGCTTCTTTATCTACATCAAGATTCTCAATTGAGGATCATCCATAGAGATCTTAAAGCAAGCAATGTTTTGCTTGATAGTGAAATGAATCCCAAAATTTCAGATTTTGGCAAAGTCCTCTTTCTGTGCTACCTAATTTACTACAAAATCCCTATTAATATAATTTGTCTCAACTTAAGGGGAACACAAAGTGATGGTTGCAACTTAGTGAGTCCTCACTCTATACTAACTTACCACAAATCCCTATTGATATAATTTGTCTCAAATAAT